GAAATAAAAGAGATGTCATGTGCGTGCAGAAACTACTCCAATGGTGGTTTGGCCCTGTTCGATGTGTGTGTGTGTGTGCACGTGCGTGTGTGTCAAGGCTCCCTTCAAGCAGAACTTGGTGTGACCTGCCGTAGGGCCTGAAGTTGAAGTCAAAAGGCTATCCACAGCAGGTTAAGATGCGAGGGTCAAGTGCAAACCAGAAGAAATAAAGGTCTAAGGATCAACACAAAGAGAAAAGAACGAAAGAAGGGCAAAAAGAAACACATAGAATCAGAAAGGAAAAGAACATAGAAGCAAGCAATGCAGATGAACATGTCTCCTCAGCTTGGTACCTGAGGGGATGTCGACTTTTTGTGATCGCTCCGTTGCTGGGACAAGCTGGAGAGAATTCGCAAAGTCTGCTTTGACACAAGTAGATGTCGAGCACCACTGGAGCCACATGCCATCAGATGCTGCTCACCCTTGACAACACACAATGAGAGGCTCGCTGAGAATTTCAATGGGTGTGAGCCATCAAAAGGAGGAAGTAAAGGATGAAGTGAAACCTGAAGGTCAACGCTTGGAGCAATTGACTTGGAGCCAAAGACAAAGCAGGATATATAAGAACGCCAAAACGACCCAGCCAAACGAAGATGTACAAATGTCAGTGGCGCGTGTTGTCTTGTACACAGTGAGCAGGTGACAGAACAAACCCGACTTGTGGAAAGGTGCCAAACGGCCCTGGAGGCCATCGCTTGATATTGCTTGTAGGTTCCTTTTGCAGGTTGGAGGCCATCGCTAGATTTGCCTCAACTTCCAAACGCCGAGGTCAAATGACGCTCTGCCTCTGAAGGATGGTGATCACATCTCCCTTTGTCACGGCCTGAAGTCGCAGTCTAGAGGCCGCCAAAAAAGCTACTAGGAGCAAGGACACTACTAGGGGCTCCTGGCCTTACTACTAGGAGCAAGAAGCTACTAGGAACAAAGGGCATCGCTACTAGGAGCATGGACGCTTCTAGGGGCTCCTGGCCTTATTCTAATGCGCAGGCCAACCTGCCGGGAAACTGCAAAAGACTCATGTTAGTTGTCAAAAAGGAGAATAACCAATGCTTACTCCAAAGCCAATGTCACTTTGACATTTGTTGGTTTGCCTTTGCCGCCACGAGACTCGGGATCTTTTGGGCGATGCTTGTCAAGCCAAGGCTATTGTGAGGATCCGAGTTGGGAGCTCATTGAACTGCTTTCTCCCTACAATAGCAGCTGCATGTTATTTGCTTGGCAATGCGGGAGTGCGAACAAGAGTCAAGTGAATGATTTCACATTGAACCATGCTTGAGGCACAGTTAGGCATGAAACCAAACTCCAGATATCCACTGTCAATTTGGAAGGTTTTGGGAGCTTCATGCATTTGACGAGCATGATTGAGTTTACCTCCCCTCATATGCGCGGAGTTTCCATTCCCCATTCGGGAGTATTGGAACATACCATATCCTTACTAGCCGCTACTAGTCCTTACGACTCTTTGATCATTTTTGAATCACATGTGTTTTGCTTCTTGCCTTTTGCTCCGCGCTCCTGCTCCTAGTAGCGATGGCAGAAGCAAAAGGAAATTAATAGCAATGGCCTCCAACCTAAGGGCGCCCTTGCTCCTAGTAGCGATGCCGATGCCTTTTGTTCCTAGTAGCTTCTTGCTCCTAGTAGTAAGGCCAGGAGCCCC